ATTAGGATACTTCCAATTATTTCGTAATTAGTTACATAGTTTTTAACGTGTTTCTTTTTACGTTATACCTCCACTGTTTTATGATTTTAACCCTATTTATTAGGATACTTCCAATTATTTCGTAATTAGTTACATAGTTTTTAACGTGTTTCTTTTTACGTTATACCTCCACTGTTTTATTATTTTAACCCTATTTATTAGGATAGTTCCAATTATTTCGTAATTAGTTACATAGTTTTTAACGTGTTTCTTTTTACGTTATACCTCCACTGTTTTATGATTTTAACCCTATTTATTAGGATACTTCCAATTACTTCGTAATTAGTTACATAGTTTTTAATGTGTTTATTTTTACAACGTTATACCTCCACTGTTTTATGATTTTAACCCTATTTATTAGGATACTTCCAATTACTTCGTAATTAGTTACATAGTTTTTAATGTGTTTATTTTTACAACGTTATACCTCCACTGTTTTATGATTTTAACCCTATTTATTAGGGTACTTCCAATTACTTCGTAATTAGTTACATAGTTTTTAATGTGTTTCTTTTTACGTTATACCTCCACTGTTTTATTATTTTAACCCTATTTATTAGGATAGTTCCAATTATTTCGTAATTAGTTACATAGTTTTAATGTGTTTCTTTTTACGTTATACCTTCACTGTTTTATTATTTTAACCCTATTTATTAGGATACTTTCAATTATTTCGTAATTAGTTACATAGTTTTTAATGTGTTTCTTTTTACAGCGTTATACCTCCACTGTTTTATGATTTTAACCCTATTTATTAGGATAGTTCCAATTATTTCGTAATTTTGACCGAAGCACTGTATTTTATCGAACTGAAAACAAAATCGCACAAAATTTGTGACCAATATCGTCAATGTACGGCCATTGTCATCAATGCCCAAGAATAGAAAGAAATGACAATATTGTCCGACCATTGAAGATATTAGTCGGACATCGGTCACTGCCCGTAACATATACATACCTCAGTTTCAAGAAGAACTAACCCATTAAAACTGTCGTATATATATGTATATATAAGACAAGCAAATAAGACTGGAGTACAAACCACAGAGCTGGAATGGTAAAAAAGACCCATAGATAAATAGGTACCAGTAGAAGCAAGATCCACGTAGTCTATCAGATTTAATCTCTATTCACAAACTTCGCGCATGAAATGCAATTAGAGCTTACAGACTAGAAGCAGATACAGTGTTCAAGCCAGTTCTGGGAAGTAAGCATCTCCTAACGGAAAAATAAAATAATAAAAAAGTTAGGTTTAAAACAGAACAATGGGAGTAATAAACAAATTCCCCTTCAGTGGCTCGGCGATAAGTCTGAAGGCTTATAACGCTGAAAACCGGATTACGATACCTATGTTGGGCACAGCACAGTTAACCCATTGTATAACTTTGTGATGAACAACAGATCAAATATACAAAGAAGCTCCGTTAATAGTCACATACATGTGGCCCGGCATGGCCAGGTGGTTATGGCGCTCGAATCTCAATCTGAGGGTCGTGGGTTCGAATCCCTGTTCCGCCAAATATGCTCGCCCTTTCAACCATGGGGTGTTATAATGTGACGGCCAATCCCACTATTCGTTGGTAAAAGAGTAGCCCAAGAGTTGACGGTGGGTGGTGATGACTAACTGCCTTCCCTCTAGTCTTACACTGCAAAATTAGGGACGGCTAGCGTAGCTTTGCGCGAAATTCAAAAACAAACAAACACATACATGTATGAATAACGTAATAAGACGTAAGTCAATAAACACATTACTAAAAACGAAAGGAAATTTCTAAGTTACCCCTCTAAAATATTGTATTGAAGTACGTTAGGCAACTTTCTACTTGATTGTGTGAAGTTAAAATATCTTAATATATTTTAGTCTTTGTGGTTTGAGCTTGAGCACTAAAACTAGCTTCTAGTTTTTATCTTAGACTTTCGTTTCGCACGTGAGGTTTGTAAAGAGTGGTGTCTGATAGACAATGTATCACACAGGCCTAAATTCATCAGGTATCTGTTTCCAGGATATAGTTACCCGCTCCCTCCCTCCCCAATATACACTGTACTTTGTACCCTAGCTGTTTTCGCTTATCTTATATGTGTAACTCTATCTTTTTCTGGTCCAGTTGTTTAAGATAAAATATCCATCCAAGATAAGGTGTTAAAATCTCGTTCCTTTATGCTAAAGTTAACATAACGGTTGCATTATCTTCATAACCATGGATACATAGGCAAGAAATTCAATGTATATAACATATGAAGCTATTTCGTAAAGTTCAGTGATCCTGGACTGTGAATCCGAGGTTTCACGGTTCACGTCCTGTTGCCATAAAAATGCGTTCTGTACGGTCTGGTAGCGAGTGCGCTGTAAGAGTAACGGTTAAACTTCCACTATTCAGTCAGACAAGAGTAGGCCAATAATTGGCGCTATGTTATATTGGCTACTGCCTTCCCTATATTTATCAGTTCAAAATTAGCGACGGGTTTGCGTAAATAACCCTCAGGTAGCTTTGCTCTAAAATTCTCAACAATAACAGTTTCTCTGAATAGATCTGTAACAGGGAATGTCTTAAACCATACCCCTCTTCGTGGCTCAGCGGCAAGCTTGAGAGCCAAAAATAGGCACAGATAGCCCATTATGTAGCTTTGTGCTTGATAACAACGGAAAAACAACAACAAAAGCCAAAACTAAACAAACTAGCTGATTACAAAAACTAAATAAACTAGCTGGTTACAAAAATTGTGCATTTGGTAGGAGGTGGAGGGGGTCGATGTTGATAATGTATTTGAGATTTACTTTTCCCCCTAAAATTTACATTAAGATCTTTAACGTAGATAAAAATCGTATTATCGTATACATGAGGGTTAAAGTATGTAAAGTCAAATATTTGTACTTACTCGGGAAAGGGGGGAATGGCTAGCCACTCTATCCCCCCCCTCCGGATCAGCCATTGTATAAACATGCGTGATAAATTTGTGTTAATTAAGAACACAAAATCGGTGCTATCTGCCATCTTTACCTGTTCATACTATTTTGTAGAATTTGGAGCCATTATAAACTCCAAACCACTAAATAATTTGATGCCAAATGATCAATCCTACCAAATCTTTGATTTTTTTAACGATGCAATTCTTAATTTAATTTGATGCCAAATGATCAATCCTACCAACCCATTTTAAAGAGAGAGAAAAAAAAAAGAAGTTAAGAGGTGAGCTATAAGATTCGAAACTGACTTGAAATGAGCAGTCGTAATACAGTTCGAACCTGTAGCTGCAGTATGACTTACAATGTTAAACTTAGATACTTCCTCTGGAACGTTACATTCAGATTCGATCAGGTTAGCTGTGCTAGTTTGTTTTCCATATGAGACGTCTGTTTATTCTAGTAGACAATTTTGTAAATAATTTAAAAGCGCCATATGGATCAGAGTGCTTAAATGGCTGCAAACTTATTTAAACGAAATATTACTTGTGTTTTGTCTCCAGGCTCGTCACCTCACCAGAGTCTTCACTATATACCAATACCTACCATGCCAGCAGATAAATGCAATGGGTCAACACATTATAATGGTCAACTGCCTCGCACGTCAATGTGTGCTGGATTCATCGATCGTGAAGAGTCAGCTTGTCAGGTATGTTAAGTTTGTGTACATTATTCTATCCCACATTTGCCCTGTGTACCTGAGCGGCGACATAAAAACTTGAATTTTGCCTTATATTCATGTAAGAACATAAAAACTTGAATTTTGCCTTATATTCATGTAATAACATAAAAACTTGAATTTAGCCTTATAGTCATGTAAGA